AATTACTAAAAAAATAAATTGATTGTACAATGTGATATTCGAATGGTTCCTATTTTGAGTTCTTAGTGCTTTATTAATCAGACGATAGATAAAACTATCACGTGTATACCATTTAATACTATCTGATGATTTATATGTTTGTTGAAATTCATTTATTTTCTGTTGTTCAACGTCATTACCATGATACTGTAATTGACATTCATAAATCATTTCTTTAATAGAATCATTTGTTTTTGGCATTAAAAATAATATTTGAATAAGTAATTGAAACCAAACAAATTTTGCATTATTTTTTGATAAATTTTTAATTGAAAATTCTTGTGTAGATTTTAAATTTATTATTGATGTTGTTCCTAACTGATTACGTTTATAATCAGTGACTTGTTCGTTAAGTTTTTTCAATAATTGTTCAATATTGTCAAAAATGCCAATGACTTTTTTCTGCTGTTGTTTTTGATGAAGATAATCATCTTTCATATAACAATAAATATATATTGATAAAATTTGTGGTAAATCGTGAACAAAAGGTACAACATGTTCACTATACCTTCCTGAAATAATTAAAAATATTTTTTCATTTACTATTTGCTTAATATAACATAAACATTCATCGTTTGGTTCATCAAATGTTTTAAGATAATTAATTAGGAGTCGAAGACGAGCTCTTATTTGAATACAATCATCAGTTTTATCAATATTAGAATCAATCCATATAACAGTAAAATCTTCTAGATTTTCTTGTTGTTGATGATTGATATTTAATTGACGAACAATGATATTTTCATTTATATTTGTCATTGCATAACCGTACTAAAATTATTGTGTAATGGAAAGAAAAAAACGAATTTCTCTTTTTTTTCTGTTTACCTCTTTATTTTTTTTATGATAAATAAAATTAATGTTGACATTTATTAAAACATTCTCTTTTTCTCCTAGCATTCTGTTTTGATTTTAACTTCTAGATTACAATCGAGCAAATGGAATATTGCCTTTTGTTGTTTCTGTATGACCCTACATTTGCGACGACGAGCACAAAAGAAAAATAAGAAGAACTGAATACATTACAGTCATGTAATTGAAAAACAAACGTTGATGGATGAAAAAAACAGTAAAAACCATCACAATATGACGATTCCGTCATCGCACTTAATATTGTATGGTAAAGGGTACGCTAAATCTTAAGCATTCACCAAATCCAAATCCAAATTCATCAAACTTTTACATTAATTTCAGTTGTAGTAAAAATTTGAGGTTTGGGTTTGATGCATTCGTCTATATGGTGAAAAAACGACTTTAACCCTTTCCCACGGATAAAAATTAGATACACAACCTTAGAAATCAGGAAGAAAAACATTGTCTTCTTCACTGCTTTGCTTTCCACTTATTCGGTTGTCGGTACTTTATGATTACAGAAAAAATCACAGAAAAAACAATTACAGGAAATCAGGTACGTTTGTTTTACTACGTGATACGCGGGAGACCGTCAGCCGACGTTTGAGCGCCCGACATTTGAGCGACCGACACTTGAGCGACCCCGACACTTGAGCGACCGACATTTGAGCGACCCCGACATTTGGGCGACCGCCACTTGAGCGCCCCGACATTTGAGTGACCTACATTTGAGTAATAACAACCGTTCAGCACCGAGTGTTCACCCTCACCCACCCTTACCCTACACAGCCTCACCCTCAAATCTCCAAATAATTCAGTTCATAATCGGACGACAAAAAAATTGTTCTGATCATCGTTATCGAAGTGAATAATCATTCGACTTTCCTGACCGGCAAAAACTCATATTGAAAAT